GCTGGTGAGATGTTACTGGTATCTGATAGGAAGAGGCTTGGGTACTACCAAACATCCTACAATGTACAGGGCAACCTATCACAATGCATTGTAGGCTCAAAATGTCTGCCATGCATGGATTAAGGATCATCCCCTTAGTGCAATAGGTTGGAGTCACTTGTTGAAAATGATTAGTTTCTTAAATTCTCCAGTCTGCTTTTTCTAATTCTTGCTATGCCAAGGATCCTTAGTTATATTCATTGGATGGAAAACGATGGCCATCTTTTATTGTTATCTGGAATTTGAAACCAAATTATAGCAGAATTTTATACTATGTTAACCTATGTGTGAACTATAGGATTCTTGTCTTGTTCTGTAGGACTGAGTGGGCCTGTGCATCTTTCTCATGACTCCTCTTGTTCCAAAGGCCCTATGTGTTTTCCCTTGTCCCATATCTTAGCACATACCATAGGAGATGGAGTGATCCAAGAAGACAAGGCCTCAGTTACAGGCTTCTGGGGGTTCATCCCCAGAGTCCTGTCCTCTGCATTCCACCTTTATTCCTCAGCAGTGTCCCTTAATCCTGCAGGTTGGACAGAACACAGGAAGTCTCCACAATGATAGCACATGCAATTAATACCTGACTACATTTTATCAGTCAATACAAGGTACAGGAACTGTTACCCAACAAGGATATTGCTGCTTTCTTCTCAGAGGAAGGAGATCAGCATAGTATTCCAAGACCCAGTCATTGTCAGCTTTTGCTTTCATTCCTAATTATATATATGTGAGTGTGTGTGTGTGTGTGTGTGTGAACCTTTATTCTTGATTTCTACAAACAATTGCTTCTGAGACACTCTACAGATACCAAGTTCACAGTTTCTCAGTCCCTTATATATAATGCTGTAGTATTATAACCTATGCCCATCCTCCTTTGGATTACTTATAATAACAAATAAAATGTAAATGCTATGAAAATCCTCATACTATATTGTCTAGGGAATAATTATAAGATAAATGTCTGTACATGTTCCGTGCAGACACAGTTTTTTTTGACTACTTTGGATCTGAAGTCAGCTGAATCCATGGATGCAGAACCAACGACATGGAACTATGGGCACAGAGGACTGAACACACACACACACACACACACACACACACATACACACACAAGCACGCGTATTTTCCCACCTCTGTGTTTATGCCTTCCAATTATACACATGATTCAGCTTCTTAAGGCCTTGTTTAAAAAGCAGTTAGCTTTGATTCCTGCCCTGGAAGATAATTAAAGCTATACTATATATACTCAGATCAAGCCACTCTTTATTGCATTTAACATCTAGATCTACATGCAGATAAATTTTCTAACTAAACTTATAGGGAAACATATTTCATAACAAATGGTCAGCATATAACCACGCAATATAGAGATTCCCTCCGTTTGAACCATCCTATAAAATTTAAAAAACTCTCCAACTCTGCCTTAAAAACTCAATTCCCCAACAATGGATAATGTATTCTTTGGTCTTTTCTTTTTTAAAAAAAATATTTATTTTTTAGTTTCTTAGATGGACACAATATCTTTTATTTTTATGTAGTGCTGAGAATCGAACCCAGGGCCTCACGCATGCTGGGCAAGCACACTACCACTTGAGCCACATCCCCAGCCCTTTTCTTTTTTAAATGTTCTGCTTAGTTTCATGCAGAGGAATCAAAAATAGGTCATTTATACATATATAACACACATACGTACATATATGCATAAAACTTTAAGTTTCACAACAATCTCATGGGGATAGTTTTGCTTTACTCATGCCATAAATAAGGAAACTAAAACTTTGAAAGACTGAATAACTTTTTGATGTCAGACATGGAATAAATAGAAGAACTGCTACTGGAGTGGAGCTGTGTCTTGGTCAATTTTGCAGCACTCAGGTGTCTTATGTTTTGATGGCTCCCAACACTGTCATTGCACATAAGAATATCCAAGTTTAGCTCTATACTCCTACTATTTAGAAAACAACAGAATCTCCAAGGGAGTTTTCATCACAGCCACTGCATAACCCATAAATACCACACCTTGAAGTAGCATTTCACAGCAAAAAAAAAAAAAATGACATCTCTAGACCCTGATATGTGGAGACTGTAGCAGGTGCCAGGCAGGGTACCAGACCTCATGGAGAGTCATGGAGAGAATATGATGAATTGTGTACAGGCATCACTTTTTTTTTTTCAACATTTGGGGGAAATTGGATAAATAATTTTATACTAAATTAATGGGGAGTAGACTCATGCAATATATTTTTTCTCATATGCACCAATGTCATTTCACAAAAATTTTACCTTGTAAGGACTTGTCTAGGATCTCTGTTGTCTCCTTGCATTCTCCACCCCTATCCTCTCCTTTTTCACTAGTGTCTGCAGTGGAAATTAGAGAGGTCAACACTGCATGCTGGGGTCATCAGCCAAGGGAAGTTTCAGACACATGGTACCATCTTGGAGAGGGACATAGAGGAACTACTAGTGTCAGTTTTATTCCTGCATCAGCCAAGCCAGGCCACCGTGCAGCCATCTATCTCTCCAGGACAGATGAATGGGAACACTGAACTTTCCATTATTGGGTGAGGTGGGTGGGGGTGGGTGGAAGCCTGGAAATCCACCTGCCACCCAGAACATTGCTTAAATCATGCCATGTCACCTGAGCTAATATCCGAGACTTAGAGCAAGTTAAAGGCAGTGCGTTTTTTTTTTTCTGTGCCTCTATTAGAAATCAATTTTATATATTAATAACTGTGATACTGTGGAATTTTGATTGCATGCTCACTCTGTACCAGACACAGTGAGGAAAAGATGTGTTACTTGCTTTATTTAATTTTACCTTAAGATGATAATTACAGGGTAGATTATGATCATTCCCATTTCATAAACAGGATGAGGATTAAACATCCATAGCTGCCCACTGGGGAGTGGTGATTAAGTACTCAACTCTATTTGACACTTAGACTAGAAGACCCAGACAGCAAAGGACCTGTTTCCATATCCAGGCCCAGGGAGCTCCATAACTAGAAACTGTTGAAACCAGCACCCTTTGCCTTTCTGTTCAGTGAGGAGGGTCTGGCACCTGGCAGGGTAGGGTGTATGGAGGCCAGAATAGACCATAGCCATCCTTTTTAGAATTCCAGTCAATGCCAACCCCATTCCATTAACTCTGAGSCTCAGAACCTCTCTGAGGGCTCCCAAGATGTTCTGTGGTAGGCTCCCTCCCATTCCCCAAAGTAGAAAATACCTTCCTAGTTGTGGGGGCTTCAGGACACAGAGAAGTGGAGGACCCCCGACTTGGGATCCCTCTAGTTCCTCTCTGGTTGCATCATCCAAACAGGCAAATATTCTTTCTAGCCCTAAACCATAGAAATTGTTGACTGTGAAACTGTTGAGAAATGAACACTGCCAGTCAATTACATGTCTCCATGCTTGATGCTGCTGGACTGTGGCCTGAGCTACTGTTCTCTTATGGGAACACGTTGTAACCTTGCYTTTTATAATGCTTTTGGAGAGGCTGTTCCAGAAGCTGATGTCCATCAATTGCTTGAGACTAGAATATGCAGGTCCCCATAGCCAATGCAGTGGTCATGGGCAACTAGTAGCTATTCCACACAGTGATTTTATTTATGTAGTTTTATGATTGGCTGTGTCTTTTTTTGGCATATTTTCATGTATGTTCAGTTCTTTCCAATTCTCCTCTTTATAAAATCCTGAGTGGGGAAAGAGACTCAGGAGAGGGTGGGTGGAGCCCCTTCTGCCGTGAACATCACACCAACTAGGTGAGCATTTTCCTAGAAGAGTGGGGAGAAGGTGGCTTTCTCTCAGACATGCTTTAAGAGTGGGAGACACATATGCCCTCTGTATAGTGGCCTATGACTTGGGGCTATGATGCATCATCTGCTAGCAGGGCCTCAGACAGTTCTGTTCTTACCCAGCCACTCATGTGTTCTCATGTGTTCTATGATCTCTCAGGATGCTTTCCCTCCCCAGGTGTGTTCTGTRTATTCATTCTATACTCTTTTTGGGGGGATGGAGTGTACTGGGCATTGAACTCAAGACACTTGACCATTGAACTACATCCCCAGCCCTATTTTGTATTTTAYTTAGAGACAGGGTCTCACTGAGTTGCTTAGTGGCTTGCTTTTCAGAGRCTGGCTTTGAACTCATAATCCTCCTACCTCAGACTCCCTAGCCGCTGGAGTTACAGGTGTGCGCCACTGCACCTGTCTCTTTCTATRCTGTTTCTAGTCTATATTCTTTCTTTAGGTTCCTTTTTTTCCAAGTACTTTCTGAAACTGAGTGAAAACACACACACAAAAGCAAAAAATCCATCCTTCCCCCAAAAAAACAAAAAAAATAAAAAAACAAGACACCTCAGCATTTTTCCCTGAAAATGTTTAATGTTCAGCTTCTAGAGCCAAGATGTTGCTAATGCAAATCTCTTGGTGTATTTCATTTCCAATGTACAATCTAAGACAGAGGGTGTAGGAGGACTGCGTTTCCTCAGTGCCAATACTCATTGATAATTTTTTTTCTGTAAAATTAATACCATAAAGTGACTTTCACAAAATACCTGCTGCTTCAGAGGAGTCATACTTTTTAGAGTTACTTGATCCAAGTTGGAACTGAAAGATTTTCACCCTACTCTTCATAGACCTTTCCGTCTTTGTTTATTTTGTCTGGTTCTCACTTTCACAAATTTCCTTGGGATGTAATCTTACCCTTTGTTCATCAACTTTTTTTTCCTTTATATTTAGATGCATTAGCATTATAGATAACTTATATAAAAAGTAGAATTTAYAGTTGGCAAACAAGTAACAAATTTKGCATATGAACAAAATTTCACTCTTTTGATAAATTTTGAATGAAGGAATTCATATTCATTTTCAACTTTGTTTTTGCAATCCCCTATATATGAACAGTAAGGACTGAGGTGAAACAGAAGTTGATGTGTGGTAATCTGTTTACTTTCTCCTCAGGAGGGATGCTAGACAAGATGTTTAACCATGCAGGGGCTGGACRCTTCCGTTTCTTGGGCCAAATCTTGGTGAATCTCTCTTCTTGCGTGGTATTGGATCGATTCCAGGCTGTGGAGTCAGCTGACATCCTGGAAACTAAAGCCCATGAACTCATGAAGAAAAACAACTTCTTGGCCAGTAAGTCAGGAGCAAATATGTTCACAAGGGCACTGCCTCTCCAAGGTGGTCATTTTGCATATTTTTCCTTAATGTTACCTTATGTTGGCTCTAAAAGAAAAGGGGTCTTTTCCAGATAAAACATAAATAAGCAGAAACATATATACATCGAGTTAATGGAAAGCTGGGCTTCATGCCATAATAACCAATGACATTTTCAGCATCCTGAAGAGAATGCGACTTGATGTATCTGTTTTTACTATTTTTTTTTTTACATTATTTTGTGGTCACATTTTTCCTGACTGAAGTTATGCTTTAATGCTTTAATTTCCTCTATAGTCTTTATTTTTAACATAGTATCTTGATATCCTGGCTGGGGGAGAAAAAAGACAGTGGTCAGTTAGATTCCATTATTATATGTGTACCTATTCAAGTTAAGTATAATATATCCTTTTCTATTCTTTTTGAACCAAAAGTTATTATTATTTTTATTAATTTTGGTGCTGGGGGTTGATCCCAGGGCTTTGTACAAGCTAAGTTCACACTGAACCACTGAGCTACATCTCCAGCCTCCAATTATGTATTTATTTTCATGAGGTTTTATATTTTTTGCTGGGACCACCATGGTAAAGTATTATAGCTTGGGTGACATAAGCAATAAAAATTTGTTCTGGAAGCTGGAAATCTAAGATCAAGACAACCAGAGAATGGAAATGTTGCACTCCGTTTGTGTACGATGAATTGAAATGCATTCTGCTGTCTTGCATAACTAAGTAGGATAAATAAAAAATAATAAATTAAAAAAAATTTTCAAAAAGACATTCATTAGGTCCTTTTGAAGATCGTGAGGGACAGATCTTCTGTAAATGTCTTTCATTGGCTTGTAGATGGTTATCTTCTTCTATAGCTTTATATAATCTTCCCTCTATGTTGTCTCTGTGTCCAGGTTTCCCCTTTTCATAAAGACAATGTTATATTGAACTCGGGCCCACCCTATAGGTCTCATTTTATCTTGATAATTCCTCTCAAGATGCTGTCTCCAAATGTGGTCACATTCTGGAGTCCTGGGGGTTAGGACTTCAACATAAATTTTGGGAGAACAAAATTTATCTCATAATAGGGTTTTGCATAAAATGTAAAGAACCCATGTGACATAAGACAGAATCCATATACTTGAGTTATGAATGCTACATAACCTCAGAGGTGGATTCTGTGCCTCCAGATGCATCTGCCACTTGAAGAAAGGAAGGACTGGTTACTTGAGAAGGCTCACACAATTTTTCAAATCCTCCCTCAAATAAAATACTATCTTATGTTACCATAGCATGGTTTTATTAATAAAGATAAAAAGGTACGTTGGCCTGGGAGTCAGGTCTTGGATCAAGTTTACCACACATTGCTTGTGGAACTGAGCCTTGATTTTGCCTTCCTGGGGTTAGAGTCTCTTCCTGTAGGCGTAGGAGGCCCACAATCCACCAGTCTTCCAGTCTGAGCAGTGTGACACTTGCATGCCCCTACCTAAGTTGTGATGATGATTTATTTTTCCTTTTCTGCCACTAGGTGTCATATTCAACAGTTCCTTAGTCCGCAGGAGAATCAGATCGACATCTCTCAAATTGCCACCCCATGTCACATATACAATTCGGACCAGCGTCTTACACAGCATGAGAACAGATATGATAAAAAACCCTTCTTGGAAGTTCCATCCTCAGAGTTTACCAGCTGATGGGTTCAAATATAACTACATCTTTGTCCCACTGCAAGACATGATTGAAAGAGCCATCATTGAAGTACAGACTGGCCAGGAAGCCCTGGAGCCGACCACTCAGACGCAGGCAGCCCCCTACCCATGCCACACCAGTGACCTGTAAGTAGCTATAGTCAAGCCAAACTTTCCTCCAGTGTCTACCTGCAGGGAGAGGAATTTTGCATTTGGAAAACAAAATAGAGAAAAAGATCCTTAAGCTTTTCTATAGTCATCTCAAAGAGTTTTCTTTTTTAAATCCACTTTTCCYTATTACTTTCTTAAGGCTGTTTTTTTAATATACTTGAGCTATTTATGTAGAAATATGATGGGTAAGATAGTTAGCCCTTTGCAGCCACAGATTCAACCAACTGCAGACTGAAAATCTTTGAATAGAAAATTCCAGAAAGTTCCAAAAAGCAAAATTTTAATTAGGCTTGCACCGTACTATATGCTGAATTCTTGTGAATGAAGTGACATATAGTCATCATATTTGGTAAGACAAGTAGAGATGATTTAAAGTACATGGAAGATTGTGTAAGTTTTATGTAATACTGCACTATTTTATAGTGCAGACCTGAGCATCTGTGGATTCTGGAATCTGCCGGGTATCCTAGAATCAATTCCCTGAGGATTCCAAGGGACAACTTGATGTGATCAAGTGGAATTTTAATTTGATATCAGGCACCTATAGTTTTAAATGTCCATAGAATATATTTAATGAACAATATTTATAAGAGCTGTGCATGTCTGGCTCCAGGCGCTGCTTGTCTTCATTTGGGGAAACAGAGGAAGATTTCTTTGTTGGGACAAATCTTTAAAAAATAGGCCAGTGAGGGTTCCAGAGGCCTAGGTCAGTGGCTTAGGAATATAGGAAGTAATTATTTAAATTTAGATAGTGTGTTTTGACTGGAGCTGTCCATAGGAAGAGAGAAAACAGGAAATCTAGTCTAAAGCCTGGAACAGCTGGACCATCTAGAGGACTAGAAWGACAAATTGGCTGTCACAAAAGCAGGTTGTAGGAAGGACAGGACAGGCAGGGTGTGTTTGCAGCATGAAATGGAGGCTGTGGTCATCTAGGGCTCACTGAACTTGAGTGTAGACATAGGAGTGGGGTTAGACCATGAAAGGACTGTCATGAAAAGGTGTTGAAGGGGGGAGCCATAGTGCTGCAGGCTCAGCCTGGATTCCTTCCTCTCTGCATGATGAATGATGTTCTCATAAGCATCCTGCTCCCACAAGTGGACCTGCATAACACAGGCTTTGAGTCCTTTGCAATCCCTGGCTGGCTCTGATGATACCACRTTCTGCTGAGGTTGTCACCTCCCTGAGGTGGCTTTGATGACTCCATCTTCTGAGCTTTCTTGAAAGTTCAGTAGAAAGTGAGTGGCTGAATGTGAGATTATTAAAGGGACAGGCTTGARTGTGATGTTAGTTATGAGAACAGGGACAGACACTTGTCTTCCAGTGAGGCTCTATAGGTAACAGCTCACCTGCATCCCACCCCTGATGGGGACAGAGCCTTGGGTCGCCATGCAGAAGTTGACTCCCTGTCCAGGTGGTGGTGGTCCTGTYTTTTTAAGGACAGGTGACTTGATGTCTTACTCTCTCCTTTCTAACACAACGCACCATACACAATAGGTTRTCAATATAATTTTTTGATTGTATATTCTCTTTTTTGAGGGGGGGTGCACGAGGGATTGAACTCAGAGGCACTTGACCACTGAGCCATATCCCCAACTGTATTTTGTATTTTATTTAAAGACAGRGTCTCACTGAGTTGCTTAGTGTCTTGCTTTTGCTGAGGCTGGCTTTGAACTTGCGATCCTCTTGCCTCAGCCTCCCAAGTTGCTGGGATTWTAGGTGCCTACTACTGTGCCTGGCCTGCCTTTTTTTTTTTTTTTTAAATTAAAGCATTGGCCTGGGGCTGTGGCTCAGTGGTACAGAGCTTGCTTAGCATGTGTGAGGCGCTGGCTTGGAGTTTCAGCACCACATAAAAATAAATAAATAAAATAAAGGTCCATCAACAACTGAAAAAAATTTAAAAAAATTAAAGCATTATACTTATATATAGTRTTTAGGCTCATCCCAACAAAATCATACATGCATGGAGTTCAATTTTAGTTCATGATCCCCCTGCTTTTCCTTCCTGTCCTTCCTCCTCTCATTTATACATTTTTGGAGAACACTTAGTGTTACAGGAAGAACCATCTCTTGGAGGTAAGATTAAAATCTGCCTGAGGGTGCTTATCCTAGTGTGGTGGAGAGAATACTGGGTTGGAAGAAAGAAACCAAGCTGTCATTTTCCCTCAGGGACTTCCTCATTAGACAAATCATTGGTAAGCCTCTTAATCTCCTTCTTTGTGAAACAAAAACTTTTCTTTTTTATCAAAGCAATGATAGTTTTAAGCATTTTTAACTTTGCAAAGTATGCTCTTATAGTATTTTTCTGGGAGGTGACAACCTCAGCAGAAACCAGTATACTCCTGTTTTTGCACAGATGCTTCCTAACAACTCAAATACCTAAGAAATCTGAGAAATAGTGGCCTTTGTTAGATGCTTGGATAAATCAATGCTTTATAATGCAATTTTTAAAACGGCAACTTTTAGAAAAGTGAAAAGCCCATCAGACAGTCTCCTTCCATCTCCAAAGGATTGCCACCCAGGGAAGAGGGGACATCATGCTTATGTGGATGGGAAGATGCAAATCCTCTCCAGTCTGGTCCACAGGAAGTGGCTGGGGATTGGCTTTGTCCTCCCTGAAACAGGGTATGTACCCTGGGAAGAGTGACATACACTCCAGTAAAGATGTGGATGAAATCCCTGAGGTAGACTGAATAATCCTACCTACCATTCATGGTGCTAGTTCTCAAGTACAGCAAGAGGGTTGGGAAGGAGGCTTTGATGAGATAGATAAAGACAAGATATACTTTTTTCCCTCACCCTTTGAAGACAAATTATTATATATGAGAAACTTCCATGCTTGAAACTGGAGTTTGTGAAATGTCTAGGTATGACTCTGATGTCATGCAATTACTTCTCTTAGTCTGCTCACTGGGATAACACAACATAACTCCTCAGAAGTATTTGTTTTACTTGTTTGAAAAAGGCAAACAAGCATTTTACTTCTCTGAACGATTTAAAGCCTTGAAGCCTCTTCTTCCTGTATGTCTGGTCTCAGAACATCTGTGTTTCTGGAGGCTTAGCATGCCTGCCACGATTGAGATGCAGTCTGAGATGGGTCTGGAACTCAGCCACCTGAGTAAAAAGTCTAAAACACATTTTGGACCATATACCACACTTGTTGAAATATTTGACTGGTTTTCTGTTAATTATTGAATTAGATACATATTCTTTAATTTTAAAATATATAACACTTAATGTGCTATTTGTCAGTGACTAGCTTTGGGGTGAATCAGTGCAAGTAACAGGTGAAAATCCATGCTCTATTGTCACTTATAGTTCAGGGAAGCATTTGTAGAGTGTCTACTCTACAAATACAATAAGGAAGAAAACTGTATTGGATGTTAAGGGCAATAAATACCATCATGTTAGGGAGGAGTAGAATGGGGGGCTCAGATTAATAAGGAAGCAGAGCTGGAGTTATGCTGGGGTAGACTCTGGCTGGAGGGAAATATTTAAGTAGACTTGAAGGAGTACAGAAACACAGGGGAAAGTGTGTTCTATGGCAGAGAAACAGCAGTGTAAAGGCTCTGGGGCAGGGGTGGTCTGGTGTATGTAGATTCGTGAAAGAGTGCATGAAGGCAAGAAAGGAAAGTCAAAGAGCTGATCACAGATTGTGTGGGTGCAGGTGATCTGAGTGCAATGGATCATGGAAGGGTTTTGAACATAAGTGATGTTTTCAAATCCAAAAAAAAAAAAAAAGCTTGTTCAGGCTGTTGTATGGAGACGCTGTGTAGCTGTGAGAGCACAGAAATTACATGGGAGGCTGATGCAATGACCCAGGTGAAAGATGACTGTGACCTGGTTCAGAGTAGTGGCAGACAAAGTTGTGCGATTCAGTGATCAATTCTGGTTGCATTCTGGAAGCAGAACCAACAGGTCTGCCAAAAGATTTGATGATAGGTGTCAAGGAAGAATCCCCTATTTTGGTTCGAGTAACTGGATCATTGGAATTATCTTTAACTTTGGAAGTAAACAACTGTGGGTAGAGAAGGCTTAGAGAAAAAGAATACAGGCTCAATTATACACACTTAATTGGTTTTAGAAACATAGAGAAATGTTAAAAAGAGATTTCTTTGTTAAAAAATATTTACTTTTTAGTTGTAGTTGGACACAATATCTTTATTTTATTTATTTATTTTATGTGGTGGTGAGGATTGAGCCCAGGGCCACACACATACCACCGAGTCACAACCCCAGCCCTAAAAAAGAGATTTCTTTAGGAGGCTGGCTAGATCCAGTTGGAGGTATTGGTTTAGAGTCTTTACCATTTCAAAGGTATTTAAAATTCAGATTAGATGGCCTTACCATCAGAGGGGAGCATAGCCAGAGACACAAAGAGGGCCAAGACCAATGGCGTCCCCCACTGCCACCACAAAAAAGGTCAGGGAGGAAAGGAGACTGAGGTAGGAGGAAAGCTTATGGAGTCCTGGAGGCCAACCAGAGGAGTGACTCCAGTAAGGGGGAGAGTTCAAGAATGTGACTCCTGGGTAAAAAAGATGAAGGGGGGCAATTGGCGGGTAGCTTCAGAGGTAGGTAGGTGCACCACCGGGTACTTCACTGAGAACAGCTTCACTGATGTAGTGAGCATGACAACCAGACTGAAGTCCACATAAGAGACTTGGAGAAGTAGAATGGGAGCCTGCATCCAGATAGCTCTCAGGAGTTTTTCTATAACAGGCAGAGGATGGAGGGCAGTTTGAACAGAAGATGTGCTCTTTAGAGAAACATGTAGGATGCTAATGGTTTAGAGTCTTTACCATTTCAAAGGTATTTAAAATGCAGATAGTTCAGTGAGAGGGAAAACTGAAAGTAATAAAAGAGGTGGGGAAATTGTGTTCTTGAATAGTTGAGAGGAGACTTCAACAAGTACAGGAACTGGCTCATAGACAGAAACCTAGCAGTTTATCCATGATTACAAAGTCCCATCTATTTAAAAA